GTTACAAATGTTCTGAATTTGAAAGCAGTGGAAGGCAAAGCAACAAATATTGGTCCCTCACAAGTACTAAAAAACCAACTAAGAATTTGTTTAATATTATGACCTGATTTTTCTTTGCTATAAATAAATACAAATACAAAAAATATAATAAATAGATGCCTCCAGTTCTGATGATAAATGAGAGATGCTAGAATAGGGGTCTTTGTTAAAACATGTGCTTAGCTACTGAGGACTGAGTGAGCATGCTGTCACTGATTCAGCAAAGCACTTAGCTCGTGCTTAACTTTGAGCAACTCAATAGTCTTATAGGATAATCATGTAGGTACTTAGGTGTTTTGCTGTACTGAAGTCAATTTGAGACTACTTGGGTGCTTAAAGTTAAGGATGTGCTTAAACTGCTTTTTGGATCAGGGCCAATGTACTCCGTCCCCTGCAAGACTAAACCCTAGTATCTGGAATTTTTTGTTTTTAAACTATGTTTATCTGTATAAAAGGTAAGGATTAGGATAACTTTGGTCTTGTATAGATTGTAAGCGCTTTGAGGCCTGGTTCCTCTCCTCTTTTTTTTAAGCAGATGTAAATTAATGGTGTTATATAATGAATAATAATAATTCACGACATATTTAAAAATAAGAAAGCATACATTAGTTCTGGGAAGGGAAATTTCACTGCAGTCCAGAGGATCATTTGTTATGAGACCATACTGTCACCAGCTCTTTTATACAAAGTCTCATACATTTGGAGTTTTTCTTATAGACCTAGCTCTTAGGGTCATATTTTTATCCAAGAATCTTAGCTTTCATTTTGGGGGGGGGAAAGGAAGTTATTGGCCTTCATCGTTGCAGAGGAAAGTTTGAAAAACTCTGCACCCTAAAGACTCAAATAATAGAAGACAAATAAAAAGGGCCCTAAACTTATTATTTATAATATATCACGATTTCTAAGCCAATCTCATAATTGTTTGCAGCTTTGTGCATAATTTTTGGATGCTTAGTGTTGCCAATACTGGATCAGTATCCCATCAAATCTTTCCTTAACCCCACTCGAATCAATATGACTTTCCCGCTTTCTAGGTATGTATCAGAAGTTGGTTTAAGGTCATAATAGCTAACGCTAAAGGTGCTGCTAAGTTAAGTTTAAGTTAAGTGTTTCTCCTTTGTTGCCTGGTTTGCTATATTGGGGAAACACTTGTTTGGCCTGATGTAACAGTGTTTGTTTCTTGCCTGTTAGGGTGAATACTAGAGCTGGTTGGGAATTTTTCCTTGGAATAATTTTGTGACAGAAAAAACACAGTTTGTACGAAACTGAAAATTCCTGCTCCAGCTTCCCAGCAGCCTGACTAGGAGGGTGCAGTGGGTCTGGGGCTTCCAGCTCTTGAGTAGTCCACATGACAGGTTGCCGTAGAACTGGGGCACCTCAGGCTCCATGGGCAGTCAGCTCCCCAGCTGGCTAGCTCCCTGGGCTGCTTGACTGGCGGCTGAGTGAACTGCCCAGTGCCCCTGGATGTATGACTAGCTTGACAGCAGTGCAGCCAGGGACCTCACTGGGTAGCCAGGAAGCCAGCAGAAAATGTTAAAAAAATTCCCTTTCAAGTTTTCTGGAACAGATTTGTTCAAATGTTGCTGTTCCATGGGAAATTTAGCACTTCTGACTTTTTGTTCCAATTTGGAACTTTTTTTCAGAAATGCAAAATTTCCCATGGGATAGAAATTCAGGATCCTGCCCAGCTCTAGTGAATATACAGCATTTGTCCAGTTGCATTTTGGGTAATATTTTTATCTTTTCAGTTCCTAGAAGAGACAGGACCAGTTCCGAATTGAATGCCACCACTCTCTTGGAGATGCATAAGAAACCAATAAACTAAATTGGTTTCCAGCAATTTTGCAGGGTTGGACACAACTATAACAGTGAAATAAAGCAGCAGGTACAGTTCCACATTTCCCACAGTTAGCCAGAACGTTAATCCATTTTGAATAACAAATCTAGTAAATAATAAAATCTATGAACAACTAAATGGTGTCCATTTCACTGTTACATTTATGCATGAGCTGTAGAGAACAGTTTCACTTGTGCCTAGACTCTCATGGTCTTGATCCTTTTCCCATGTGATGGTGAAGTAGACAACTCTCTCTCCCAGGTGTCTGAGGAGAAAATTGTATGCCTTTAAAGGAAAGCATCCTTCTGGGAGCATTAGCCAGATGGCCTGTACAGTACTTCCCGCCCCCTTTCAACTGTCTCAGCTATAAGTACATAAAACACCTATCTAGTAATTGGAAATATAGATTCTGAACTGTTATTAATTCACATATGTATGCACAACTTCCATTTGTTATTTAATCAACAGAGACAGCATGCTCTATTGGAATGAGCACAGGGCTAGGAGTTAGGAAATCCCAATTTCTAATCCTGATTTGTTCTGTAACCCATCGCAAATGGTTTTACCTCTCTCTGCCTCAGATTCTCCAGCCATTAAATGGAAATAATAAAACTTTTCCGACATTCTAAATGCTTTAAGGTCTTCAGATGAAAAGTGATATAAGGTGCTATATATCAGAACTGGTCAAAATATTTTGAATTATGAAACTAAAAATGAAAGTGAATTCCCCCCCCCTTTTTTAAACTGCTCTACTAAACATATTACTAAAGTACTTCAGATAAATAATAAACATGCTAAAAGATATAAATATGTTTATCCATCAGCTCATAATAAGTGCTTCAGGCCCCAATTCATAATTACTTTGCCTGTAATTCTTTGGGGGGCAGAGACTGTCTTTTTGTTCTGCATTTGTACAGCACCTAGCACAACAGACTATTGGGTCATGACTGGGTGTCCTAGGCACTAATACAAATAAGAATAATAACTTAAGCACGTGTCTAGCTGTAAGTACATGAGTAATCCTACTGAGGTCAATACGACTGCTCACATGCATAAAGCTGGGCAGCTGCTAACATACTTTGTTAAATCAGGGCCTAAGTGCATTTTGTATGTAAAACTTTTTAAAGTACTATTACGTATTTGCCCTGTTAGCAGGACTCCTTACCAAGCAGGTAATCAGTTTATTGGAGGAAGGAGGGAGAGCTGCAGAGACTATTCCTGAAGGACATGGTTACTTATGGATAGGCTGTGGATCAGTCACTGGGTCAGTAGTTTAGGTGAAGAGAATCAGAGAAGGGGTAGTCCAGGCTAGTGATTTAGGCTAATTTAACATGTGAGAGTGACACAAATTCAGAACTGCAGCAAACCTGTGGTGGGTTAGTGCTGTGAACTTATGGAGAGGAGGGAGAGTAACAACTGAGTTTTGGTTTTGGGGGACTATAGAAGGCAGTTCATATTAGGAAATTTTCCAGCTCCAAGCTGAACTCTAGATTTCCTTTGAAATGTCAGAATACTTTGCAGTCAGGCTGATTCAAGGGATTTTGATAGTAAAACCAGCTGTCTAGTTGCAATGATGTTTTTGTTCCATTGTCAAAAGTTTGAGTTAAATCCATGATGAGTGTGGATAGATTGTATGGGTGAGAACGTGGGGTGGATGTGAAAGAAGTGGATGTAGAGAGTATGCACTTGTACATATATGGTTAGAGGAGGAGTGGGGAGATATGCATGATTCAGTAAGGTGTATATACTGAGAGGGTCAGAATGCATCTCTGCATCTCATGTGTCTTTTTATGTATATATGGGACATGTCTGAGTGTTTCTATTTGTATATGTGTGGCTCGTGTATCAAGCTAGTCTGTGTGTATGTGATGGGTCTTCTGGTAGAGGAACTGCAAAATCTGAGGAGGCTGCTTGGGGCGGCACATGCACCGCCTGGTTTGTGAAAAGCTCTGCTCCCTGTGCATCAGTGATCTCAACGGGACAACACAGGTTAGTCACCTTACTCATGTAAGTGTTTGCAGGATCCGGCCCTAGCACTCTAAGTCACCAGTCTGTGAAGCAATGTGTATAAAAGGAAACTGCCACAAAACAATTGTTTTACTGGAGTGGAAACCAACATCCCCCTTTAAATCAGTTACAGCATCCATTTCTTTTTACATTTTATATTTGAATGTATACTTATACCATTTTATAGCTACATATTTATCTTAATAATACAGACAAAAGCATACTATTCTATTACACCTTACAAAATGATTGAAAACATTTATTGGCTTTTGTTATAAATTCCTTCACATTTTATAAAGGTACTTCTTCAGCGAAACAATTAACATTTTATAATAGGAGGCAGATTTGATAACAGCAAAAGAAGCATTATAAATTCAGAAGAAGGGGAAAATAGGCTAAACAACTGCTAGCACAAATAAAAGAAAAATCAAAGAGGGTAATAAATAAAAGAGGAATTCAGAGTAATCTGAAAGACAACTGAGAGTGAAACATATTATACCTAGTAGCAGATTTATTTGCACAATGTACTTGGATTGTAAAGTACTTGGAACAACCCCCATGCATCTCACTGTTTGAAATCTTGAAGCGAAGGCACCATGGTAATTTTATGGTGAGATTTCGCAATATCTGATGTTTTACCTATGACCTCAGCTTCTGGAGACAAGTGATTCTGTGACCATCTCAGAATTCTCTCCCTCAACTTTCTAGCCCTCGTGTTTGAGGAGAAAAGCTTGAATGTGTAACCCAAGTGCGCCCTGCAAGATCAGAGCTAGAAAGCAAATTAAAATAAATCCCAAATTATTGTTTTGGGTTTTTTTTAAACTCCGGTGATTTTTCAAGCCCATCTCATGATTTTTGGGGGGAGGGGGCTGCTTTATGAAGCCTGGCTCCAACGTTTACTTCACTCTAGGGATCCCCCCTCCTCCTTGCTCCAGCACTGCAGAGGCAGACCGGAATTCTGCCATTCCCTAACAGCCCTGTAACCCCGCTGTCCAACACCTGCCCTTCCAGCTCCCCAGCAGCCCCGTGCTCCGGGCTCGCGATCGGACTCCTGGCAAGGGACAAGGTAAGGGCAGAGGCTTCACGTTCCCAGCGGGCATGTGCACACACACTCCGCACATGCTCACTGGGGCTGTGTCAGGAGTTTGGAGGGCACATTGGGAAGCCCGGCAGCTCCTGCTCTTACACCGGCTCTGGAGTTCCCAGCCGCGCAGCAGCTGCCCCAGCCTCTCTCCCCTGGCGGGCGGTGCGGGGACGGGGAGCTGAGAGCCCCGGGGCGAGCACCTTCCGCAGCCGGTGGTGAGTGCGACCCCTTCCCCTTTCCCTTCCCCGCCAGTGCGCTCGGGGCACTGGCCCCGGTGGGGACGCAGAGGGGCGCCTGGGGGTGCTTTGGACACTGGTCCTTGCCTGCGAGGGGCGGGGAGAAGCGAGGGATGCTTTAGGCACCGGTCCCCACGCCCTTGTCTGGGGAGTGGGGATTTCAGCCGGGCTGCTTCCGAAGAGCTCCAAGTTGAAAGGAAACGTGCAGCCCTTTGCACAGGGTTTGGGCGCTGAGATGAAATACCCGGCTCCTGTCCTCCCCATGCTGCTGCCTTGTGTTTCTTGGTCTTCGGGGGGGCTAGTGCATCCCCCCAGACCAAGTGCCCCTCCACCTGCCCCATCGCAGGGAAGGAAGAGGAAACTGTCACTCACTTGGCCGCTTTGTAATGACACACGCACGTTTTTTTTCCTAGCAGAAGCAGAACTTGAAAAAACTCTTTCCCCCACTTTCTAAACTCAGAGACTTTACCGCAGCGTGCCTGGGTCTCTCCAATATTTCTCTCTCCCCTTGCCCACCCCAGCGAGGTGCACAGTGTGTGGAGTGGAGAGCGGGGGCTAGGAGGAGAATCTCTGTCATTTTACACTGATTAAGCAGTTTAAAAAAAAATCAAACTCGTTAGCGTTTAAATTATGCTGTGTTTTTTTTTTAGTCCGTCCACCCCCCCTTTAGTATTGTTTCTGGAGCAATTTGCAAAAGGCAAGGAGGGTGCATTTACTAACCTGAGTAGGGGGTTTAAACAATGTTGATAAGAGTAGGAGGGAGTTCTTTGTGGGTAAAATCTTCTGTAGTGACACTAGTTAGCTCGTGGGGGTTGAAGCAGGAGAGCGGATTATTGAATTAATTTTAAGCCTCATGCCATTCTGGGTAGGTGACTATTGATTCTGCTTTCTCAGTTTTCTGTTAACACATGGAGTAATTGTTATTTGCTATAAGTCGATGGTGGCATGATTTACCCTAGATGGTAATAGCTTTGAACCATGTGGGAAAAGTGTGTGTGTGTGGACAGACAGTAATATACAAAATTTAGTAATATACAAAAATTAGATTTTTCCTTCACTAAAGAGCAATTTGATACATTTTTCATTTCCACTCTAAAGTACAAGTTATTTGTTCATAATAATGGTTAAGACTTGAGGACTTCTATTTATATTTCCACTTGGCCATTTTGTATCCTATAAATTAATTGCATTCTTATTTTGGTTTCATTGGCATACATTTAAAGCAGGGTACTAATAAATTGCCTTGTGTTCGTATTGCTGTAAATACCATAGTTAGGGAGCCTTAAATCTGAAATAACTTGTTTCTGAGACACTTCACTCTTGCTAAGAAGCAGGCTGAACAGAGACAAGAATATTTAAATAAAGTAACTGAAAACTGAAATCTCACCATGAAATCTGAAGATGTAAAATGTTGGCTTAGGTTTGATGTAGTGAATACCTTAGTGCCAAAAAAAAGTAACCTTAAAAAATGTCAGAAAACTGCCTTGCGAAAACACTGTCATCAATTCTGCAATGTCTTTTTAAGTGTAGTAGTAATATTCATGTTACGTAATAGTTTGACTGGAGCATAAGATTTTAAAGTTTTATAGAATCAATTAAATTAGTTAATTGATGTAGTTTTAAGAAACTCTGCAAGTCATTTAACTATTTTAAAACAAGATTATTTACAAACCACAACTGTTTGAGTAACTTAAATATAGATTTAAAATTAGTTAATACAAAATCTTTGTTCACAGTGAACATAGGGGAAAAAATTAAGTATATAAATCACACTAAAGGTAACACTCAAAGTTTATTTAATGTTTTTAATGTTTGAGTCAGAGAATGCCTCTAAAGGAAATTATTTCAGGTATACAACTGCCTTATTTCAAACTTAATCTATTAATTTAATGATACGTTCCTCTTGGATGAATTTTTAATTGTTAAAATACACATGGTTAATCAAACGTTTATTAGTCTACATCCAATTTATTAACAACCGTTTTGTTCAGTTTAGTATCAGGCATGCACATCCCTTAACGCTCCTAATGTAACTGGCAGGAATGGTTTATTGTTTAGACTTCCTTATAGAATTTGCTGGTTTACTGAGAATTTTCCTCCTCTGGCACGCTTTTCATGGAGGATTGTTATTCATAGTTTCCAAATACATTGAGTGCTTCTATTTTCATGTGACATTGCAATTCATATATATTGGAACATTCCTTCATGCTGATCCCAAGAAGATGGCAGATATTTAACCTGTTTGTTTATTTCAAAACTAACATCTTAGCTCCTTTCAAGCTGCTTTTAGATTTAAAAACACAGGACAGGCTATCTTGCACCATCAGTTTTTAAAGACCACTCTAGTCATTTCTATTTCTGCTTAAAAACCAATGGCATGACTGGTCTTCTAATATTGTAAACATGAATATGAGAGACTTCATTATGGTTGTCCTACAAAGTTATAAGTATTTATAGCCTTGGATATGTTCCAATATAATCTTTTAAAATTCATAATTAAAATTCACTTGAAGTGGCATATTAAAGCCAATAATGCTGATGATTGTTTTTTTAAACAAACTAATCTCTCTCCAAAAAACAAAATAGTTAAAAAATACTACCAAATGTGTACTTCATGATTCCATGTTGAGTCGTAAAATTAATTAAAATCAAATTGTTAGGGAAAAATCATGTGACATCAAATTTATTTGAATTAACAGCAGGTAATATATCTCTCCATTAAACTTTATCATTTGTTTGTATTCCCCCTCACCACCATTTTGTTTTAAAATATTGCAATGAGACTTGATCCCCGTGACTTGCTAATTGTATCATAATTTGGTTGAAATTGTCTAAATGTGCTACTGTTTAAAATATCTCACAACCTTTGCCATTTTAAATTTCATTATAAGAGCTTCATTTCGGAGGAATAAAACGTTAGTTGTGGTTGGAGAGGGACTCTAAGAATCTATACAAAGCTACAATACGTGTGCAGACACATTACTATTATACAGACATGTTAAACTCAGACATGCACACTGGAAACGAGGGACATTGGGAATATTGTCATTTAGGGCATGCTCAGTGCTATTGCGTTGTGCTTAGATAAGTGATGGACGCTTTAGTTTTTGCTAAAGATTAAATAGCTTAATATAGGTGTCATTCCTGCAAACACTGATGGACTTTCTTAACTTTAAGCTTGAGTAGTCCCTCTATTGTCAATGGGACTACTTGTGCTTAAAATGAAGTATGTGCCTTTGTGTAGGATCTGTGTATGTATTTATAGACAAACGCACTTTCAACAGAGATCTATTAAACAGATTTCCATAATTTTCTGCTGCCTTTTCAGCTATTTGTCATGCAGTAGTACAACAGTTAATCTGAAATTGGTTATAATTCTCTTCAGTGAAATTAGTTTCCTCTCTGCCAAACTTTGCAATAGCCAGATGTTTTTAAGGTGTCTTCAGCTGGAGTAACCAACTAGAACAGCATTGAAGACTAATTAATCTTTGCAGTAAACTCCTTCTGCAGTAAATTCGCAGGTTGTTATACTTAATATGTTGAAATGACTGTTAGGATTTTTTGTGCAGTGAAAAAACACTTAAAAGTTAAGTGAAAATAAAAAGATGTTTTCAAAAATACCTGGAAAATAGTTTGTAATTAATTTTGCCCGAGTGGATTTACTGTTAAGGTCAAATGGTTAAATTAAGTTGCAAATTCAAATTCTGTTCATAGTGTGTACGACCTAATCAAAGAATCTTGTTTTCAAATGTGACAATCAAAAATAAATGTTCCCTGCGGGTCAGGTAGGCTGTGTAGGGAAAACTTGTACTGCCATTGCCTATATTTTGTGGGTAAATGTAGGATGACAGTCTCTAGGGTTGTTAATCTGGTACCTCTCATTAAATTTCACTACAACAAAGACGGGAAAAAAATAATAGCAAGGAACATGTGCTAAATATACAGCGTATCTGAAACTAGAACTGTGAAACTAGCATATGTAGACCATAAACAAATTAGTTGCAGAATCTCTATTCAGCGTTTTGACTTTAAAATGTGTTTTTAAAAAAGTAGTGATTGAGCAAGTCCAACAAATCTCTTCACATACTGCTCACCCTAGTAGGAATAGGATTTAGAGCTAAGCAAACCCTGAACAGTTAACAAAAAAAATCCCCTTTTCTCCTCCTCCTCCATAATGACAGAAAGACCATCCTTATTAGATGCTTTTTGTTTGTTACAGTTATTGGCTGAAAGGTCCAATCAGAAAACAATTGGTGATGGCAACTTAATGCAGTTAAGATCTATAAATAAAGATGATGACGCATTGTTTTAACTTGTGTAATGGTGTTTAACAAACACCCTGTTTTAATCAGGTGAGGATAAACCCCTCAGTTAGGTGGCAAATAACTGCAGCTTGGCGACAAGAGTGTGTCACTCGGGGCACAGAGCGGCTGCCGCTTGTCAGAGGACCTGATGGCGCTGTGGTTTGTGAAAAGAAAAAGGGAAATTTTCCTTCATCTGGTTGCAAAATAATTTATTTTGTGCTGATTAGACCTAAGGTTAATAAGAAAGGTCTGATTCTCCTCTCTGATAGGCTGTTGTAAATTCAGGAGTAATTCTACTGAAATTACACTGATGTAAAAGCAGAGTGAGAGAAGAATCAGAGCTAAAATATTATGGCAGAGGAGTCTATCTGCTGCCACACATACTGCATCTTCTTTCATTTTAAATAATCAGACCTCTGATTCATCAACTGTATTAAACTCTGGCTTTAGTTATGTATCTTTATGCCTTATTTAAAAATACTCGGCTTAATGCTGTATCAATTAAAGGGGAAAAACACCTACAGGATTTATCACCCTTTGCATCTAAATTATCTAATGTGTAACTGCTTAACTCCTAGTACTGAGAGCCGTTAAATAAACTTGTTTATATGCTACTATGTTACTGAGTCATACTGTACAGTATATGGTTTGTTAGCACAGAGGAATAATTTCTGT